TCATACCAGGTGGAGAAAAGTTTGAAATTGCCAATTATTTAATCTTCTATCCACAATCAACATCCTTGGTACAGCAGTCAAGGATATCAGGAGACATATTGCATTTGGCAAGTCTGCAGTCAGCAATCTCTTCAAAGTCCTGAAGAGCAACATGCACCTGATTCAAGCCATGGTTTCTCCAGTTACATGCTACACATCTTAGAGCTAGACAATGAAGAAGGATGACAGAAGAAGAATCAATGCTTTTGAGTTTTAGTGTTAGAGGAGAGTACTGAATATCCCTTATCTGCAAAACTGTCTTGGAGTTAGAGTGCTCCTTAGAGGCAAGGCTGGTGAAGCTTCAGTTCACGTCCTTTGGGCATGTTATTAGAAAAGGCTATTCCTTGAAAAGGGACATCATGTTTGGAAAGGTAGAGGGTCAGTGAAAAAGAGGAAGACCCTTAATTTGATGGACTGATACAGTGACTGCGACAATGGGCTCAAGTGTGCTGGGGAAAAGGATGATCCAGGCTAGGACAGGGTTCCGATCTGTAGTTTATTGAGTTGCTTTGAATAGTACTTGACTCGATGGCACCTAACAACAACAGCAAGAACAAGGACAAGTAGGTGGTGTCCATAAGCCGGGTGTAAGTAAGGGGCTACCTGTACATAAATATCTTAATAACAACAGCAAGACCCCCACGACTGGCATATTGGTGATGTTGTTCGTCTGTGCAGTCGAGTCGCCTGCAACGCATACTGACCCTATGGATAACAGCCTTAAACCCTGCTCTATCCTGTGCCAATCTTATTGGCTCTGACACATCCCATTACCCCAGTCACTGAATCAATCCATCTTATCAAGGGTCTTCCTCTCTTGTGCTGTCCCTCCACCCTCCCAAGTGTGACATCCCTCCTTAAGGACTGGTCTGCCTTGCAATATGTCCAAAGTATGCCAGACAAAGCTTCAGAATCCTTGCCTCCAAGGAGTAGCCTGGTCTCACTTTCTCTAGGACAAACCTGTTTGATATAAAGCACTGCCGTTAGGAATATGAAATTAGCAAAAATCTGGCAGGTTCAGTTCAATATGTTTATAAATAAATAAACCAGGTATTTACTCAAGAGAAATGAAAGCACGTGTCCATGTAAAGACTTGTACATTTAATCATAGCAGCTTTATTGAAATAATCCCAAATTAGAAACAAACGCCTATCAAAAGGTGGATTAAACAACAATGATTTAGTGGGTCAGTACTCTGCAATAAAAACAACAAAACGAAGAGGTCGCTGCAGGTCCCCACTGACCGGTGTGTTCGAGAGGCCCGCCCGGCAGGTTGGAGGCGGGGAGAGGCCCCGATGGCTCCCGCGGGGAGGAAGCGCTCCGCGAAGTCGCTGAGGGCTGACGCTGAGGGCTGACGTGGACGACCAGGTGGTGGGAGCCTTCGACTACGACAAGGACGAGAGAAAGAAGCTGAGCGGCTCGGAGGAGGACGACCGAGAAGGAAAGACTTTGGTAATTGATAAGCGTAGAAAGAAGAGAAGGTCTTTCCCACAAGTAACTGAAGAGGATTTGGGGGGTGAAGTACAAAATATGTTGGAAAGATTTGGAGCGGACATTAACAAGGCTCTTCTTGCAAAAAGAAAAAGATTAGAAATGTATACCAAAGCTCCTCTCAACAGCAGTAATCAGAACATTGAAAATATTTGGAAAACACAGCAAGAACAAAGGCAGAAGCTTAGTGAAGACTATAGTCAGTAGTTTCTCACTTGCTTTCATCAGTGGGAGCTAGATATACCGAAAAATAAGGAACAAGAAGAAAAACTAGTTAATGTATTTCGACATCAACCAAAGGTTTTTCAGCAATCTAGAATTGTTCAGAGCCAGAGACTGAAAACACTTAAACAGTTATATGAGCAGTTTGTAAAGAGTATGGAGGAAATGGAGAAGAATAATGAACACTTATTAACGGTGCACAAAGTGAACTAAGAAAAGAAATGGCTATGTTACAGAAAAAAATTATGATGGATACTCAGCAGCAAGAGATGGCAAGTGTTCGAAAGTCTCTTCAATCCATGTTAATCTGATGACTCTTTGGAGAAAGAACTTGAACCTAAGTAATATGATACAATTATAATATTAGCTAAGGGGTATATAAATCCTTACCGTGGTATAAAAATTCTAGATTACCACATCCTATTACTCATTATCTTGTATATTAAAAGCAAAACCACTTCATGTAAACCCTAAATAAATCTTATGTGAGTAGCAGCAATTCTAAAGCTGTTATGTGTCAGGCTCTCAGCTGTTGGTAGTACTAGAGAATATTTTCCTTCTTAATACTGTCAATTAACTTTAGCAGTAAAGATTATATAATTTCTAGATTTTGGCTTCAGTGGATTTTTACCAGTACCAAAAGACAGAAAGCACAAGTACGGGAGATTATATTGTTAAGGGGGAAAAAACAACAACAAAATATTTTTATATGTATTTTTTTGTACACATTAAGTTATAAAGCTAATTCTAATAAAAAGAGCTCAAAAGAAAAAAAAATAACAAAACAAAGGATAAAGCCCTCCAAAAGTTATAATGTATGACACAATGGATGAATGTAAAAATGGAGTTGAGTCAAATAACAAAATCCAGGCTATGGAGTGAGTGTCAGCTCATTGGTATTATATGAATGGCAGAGTTGAGCTGCTTTGTAGGGTTTCCCAGCCTTTAAATATTTTCAGAAGCAAACTGCCCCATCTTTGTCTTGAGGAGCCACTGGTGGGTTCAAACCATCAACTTTTTGGTTAGCCAGTCAAAGGCTTCAATGAAAATGCCACCAGAGCATGAGTGAGAGATACCAGACCAAAAAGACAACATGTACTCTATTAGTATTAAGTTCTAGAAAAGCAAGTTAACATATGGTGGAAGAAAATTAGTGATCATATGTGGGACAAGTATCCCAAAAGGGCATGAGAAAGCTTTTGTTGTTATGTGCCTTTGAGTACAGCTCATAGTGACTCTATGAACAACAGATCTGAAACCTGTCCTATCCTGCACCATCCTCGTTAGCTCCAACATAATTGAGCCATTGCTGCCATCACTGCACCAATCCATCTCACTGAGGATTTTCTTCTCTTATGCTGACCTACTTTTTCTAGCCTGATACTTCTTTCCAAGGAATAGGCCCTTGTAGCCACATGCCCAAAGTATGTGAGACAAAGCTTTGCTATTCTTGCCTCTAAGGAACACCATGGCTGCACTTTCTCCAAGTCTATATGTTTGTTCTTTTGGCAGTCCATGGAGCATTCAGTATTCTGCTGCAAAAAGCTTTTGAGGTGATGGAAACATTTTGTTATCTTGATGATGGGGATAATTTCACTTCTACATACATGTCTGTTCTTATAAAAACTTTCTTCCTCCCCTTTTTATTATTATTTTAATGAAAATTTATAGAGACTTTGGATTTCCATTCCTTCATTGTTGCACTTTTCTCCCTACCCACCCAGTTCACTCTTTGAAAAGTAAAAGAAAAATTCTTTCTTTGTTATACAATCCCTCCCCCCACATCCACTCCACTATGCAGCCTTCATTCTGGACTCCTGTCATGAAAATAATACCTAATCATATATCCTTTTTAAACACTTCTTTCCCTCATCTGTTTCAATGCAGTATACATAATTTATCCCATCTTTCTCAGTCTCCTCCCCAACCTAGATGCCAGTCCTATTTTACGACAGTGGAAGTATACAGTATTTGTCCTTTTGTGTCTGAGATATTTCACTCAGCATATTGTCCTCCAGGGTCACCCACTCTGCATAATATTTCATGAGTTCCTTGTTTTTCAATGCAGTGTAGTATTCCATTGTGTGAATATTCTACAGCTTCTCTATTCATTTGTTTGTTGATAGGCACTTAGGTTCTTTCCAACTCTGCTATTATGAACAAAGCCATGATAAACATTGGTGTGCATATATCTGCTTGGGTGGCAGTTATGGTTTCTTTGGGATATAGAAAAACTTTGTTATTGCCACTAAGTTGGAGCTGACTCTTAGTACGTTTTTGAAAGTTTTAGATTGCAAGGGAGATTACCCATCTTTCTTCCCTAGAACTGCCGGTCGGTTTGAAATACTCACCTTTAGGTTAGCTAGCAGTGCATCTCCCTATGGAGTAGTAAGCCAACTGTGGTTTAAATATGAACAGTTTATGCTATTTATACTTCAATTAAAAATTTACTGCACAAGCTTTGCTCAATATCAGGCTGTAACATCTTCATGCACTGGACAATGAAAGATCATTTTTCTTCCCCTTAGATGTGGTGAAAAGAAAACCTGCCATTATAGTAGGCTAAGAGTTAGTCTATGAACAGAATAGTGGCAGTTTGAACCCACCAGGCTCTCCAAAGAACGATGAGACAGTTTTATCCTATTAAGGGAGCTTCTCAAACTGGATGAAGGGTTGGAATGAATCACAATTTACAGAGAGGCAGTGAGTTTAATGTGGAAAAAAGCTGCAATGCTAGAGAGATGCAGATGTTAAAGTTGAGTTGAAAAATGCTTGTGAAGCCACTAACCTGAAACACTGTCACATACAAAAATAATTTCCCTTTCACCAATTTATAAAAGGAACAATTTTAGCAATCTTCTAACCTAGCTTTTCTTTTTTAAAAAGTAATCAGTGGGAGCCAATTAGCAAATAACCACAATTTTTCCTCTGCTGTGTTTGGCCACCAATTAGAATAAACAGGTTTCAGGTGCACAAAGCCTACAGCCGCTCCTGCCTTGGGGCAACAGGGAAGACGCCTACCCACCTAACACCTCTGACCAGTCTTCAAGCCTCAGTGTCTCAAGGCCTCGCCAGTGGGGGGCGGGACAATGCCTTAAACAGCCAATACCCGGATGAAGCATGCGCAGGCGCAATGGGGGGCTTGCGCTGGAAACATAGGCTGCCGCGAGGCGGTGCACGTGCGCAACGGGGCGAGGCCGGCGCGGGGGCTTATCGGCTGGCGGAGGGCGGAGGGCGGAGGGCCCAGCATGTGGGGCCGGGGTCACTTCACGAGCTCTTCAGTGGCGGAGAGTGTGAGGTCAGTAGTAGCCTTTGTGGCAGGTGTGATTGCGGGTGCTTTCACGGGTTGTATTTCCGTCGTTGGTGACGTTGTCGGTTTTCGGACCTGGGGCAAGGCCCGCTTTGCGGCCTCTCTGTGCCCCCGCGATGACCACCAAAGGGCGAAGGGCACCGCCGTTCCTGGAGCGGTGTCAGTTGGTGAACCTCTCTTGCAAAATAACTCCCTTGCTGGTGGAACTCGGATTCGGGGTGAAATTTACACTACTCCCCTTTCCTTCTGCAAATTCTTTGCCTTTGAAGCATCACAACCGTTATAGACTGTTAAGGAGCAGCTCATGCCCAATTATTATCAGCTCATGCCCAGTTATTATCAGTTCTGCTTGTGTAATCGAGATTTGGAGCAGTAGGAAACATCATTCGGTAATTGAGGCTTGCACGCGATAGATATGGCTTCAATTCCTTTATAGCCACTTGAGAAATAATTTTTCTTTTTCTGAAAGATTTAAAAGTTAATCTTGTACACAAGTTACCTGATAGTGTATGTGGAGGACTCTCCAAAATAGCTCCACTCTCCTTAATTACGTATTAATAAAAAAAAAACAAACACAAATTGAGAAGGTAAAAAGACAGTATTTTTAAAGTATGATAAAATGTACCACAATCCCAAAGTTTTAGCTTCTCTGTTATGGTTAGGGAAAAAGATACTTTGCAAATGTTACAGAGCCAAGAAGTTTGTAAAATTGTAAAACCTTACTGTGATTTTTGTTACCGCTTAATATTTTTTCGAATGCACTGAATAGAAGAAAAAGGTTTTCAAGGGTTCCTCCTCCAATATGGGTAAAATAAAAGAGTGAAAAGAATTTTAGAATGTGGTCAAAATGTTGCAAAAGCTATTGGAGTCTAGTTGGAGACGCCATATTTTTAATGTTAAGTGCCATTTAGTTGAGGAAGTTTAAAATTTGTAGTATTGTTTATGACAAAACTTTATTTTTGTGAGAATTTTAGCGTATTTGATAGTCTTTACTCATTGTTATCAGGTGATTTTTATAACCTAGTAATTCTTTTAGTTTTTCAGGAATTGTCAAAATGGATGATGATCCACTTTACAATAAAGGTACTGATACTAAAACTTACTTAGGAGTATAAAAGCTTGGTGATACTGATTAATTTCTAATTGTCTTTGTGTTGCAATTTGGTTCTAGTTGAAGATGTTGTTGGAAGTCATGTAGAAGATGCGGTAACATTTTGGGCACAGGTAAATAACAACTCTGTTGATTTTTCTTCCTCCCACCCAGTGATCCATGTTCTTCTCAACAAAAACAAATGAAAAACCAAACTCAGAAATATTTATCATTGTCATTACCAGTCCCTATTTGTTACTGAACATTCTTTAGTGTAGTTTTATTTTGAAAACAGATAGCTATATCTGGAGTTTTTCTTGATTAATGCTTCAAAGGTATAAACTCACTGTCTTGGCAGTCTAAGGTGTAGTGACCTACCATTTGCTTTTTGAGGCTGCAAAGTGTAATGGGAGGAGACTGGCTATCTTGCTTCCACTACTTTCTGAAGCATCCAAGCCCCTGCAGACATAGCAATCTCTACAGATTATACCACCAGAGTAATTGTTGTCAAGTGCCATTAAGCCAAATAGGAGTTTATGAACAGCAGACCCTGTCCTGTGCCACCCTCCTCATCACCTACGTTCTTGAGCCCATTACTGCAGTCAGTGTGTAAATCCATCTTGTTGAAGGTCTTCCTGTCTTTCCCTGACTCTCCACCTTTTCCAAGCGTGATGTGCCTTTCTAAGGTATAGCCTCTCCTAACAAATGTGCCCCTAAGTATGTGTGCCCAAAGCTGTGGCTTTGTCATCTTTGCCTCTGAGGAGTACTCTAGCTATACTTGGTTGTCTTTTTCTCCTCCAATTAAACTTGTTTTAATGGCTCTCAAAATTCTGTGACAAATTTTTGGTCAAGTTGTTTCCATTTAAGAATTACTGATTTTTTTTTTTTTTTTAAATATGGAACGCTTCACGAATTTGTGTGTCATCCTTGTGCAGGGGCCATGCTAATCTTCTCTGTATTGTTCCAGTTTTAGTATATGTGCTGCCGAAGCGAGCACAAGAAGTACTGATTTTAAAAACTAGTAACTTGAAATTGCCACAGGAGAAAGAAAACACATGGTCCACAAAACACTCCTTTCCTTCTGAAGGTTTACGATACATTGTTACCATTAACCAGTCTTTTT